AGAGAGAGAGAGAGGTCAGATAAGTAAACCGCAGCCCAGCCTAGTTGGTGTATCAGCAGGAATAAAAAAACAAAAGCTCCCTCTATTCTATTCGAAAGCCGCGAGAGCCCTATCTCTCTCTGCGTGTGTGTGACGGTGCCGCCAGCCGGGCCCAGCCAGCCAGCTGCGCGGCGGGTTGCAGCATATTGCACCACCCACTTGGAGGAAAAATCGGGCATACAACGACGGCGGCCAGCTGCAACAACATCTTTATCTATTCGGACAATAACAACGAGAATATATGCAGAACCAGAACTCGACGTTGTCTTATTCCCGGAACTCTTCTCATCCACCCTATTCTTTTGGGTGGTGCAGAGGGGAGGGAAGGCTTCGGTGAGCGTGCTCCGAGAGCTGAGATGATGAGCGAGATTTGCAGATGATAGGTGGCTGAGCCCCGATCTCACAGCAGGAATCTCATCTCGTAGCTCCCTTACAGCTGTAAATCCTAGCTCGAGAGGATCGCGGTTCGCAGTTCAGCTGCCTCACAACACCGGCTGATATAAGAAAAGAAAGTCAAACGAATACCGTGAGACGTGCCAATCGGCTGGAGATGTGATGTTGGGATATTTTTCCAGTGCGAATGGGCTGCAAAGGGTTCTTCCGTAGGGTGTTGTCGGTCGGGTCGATGTTGGTGTTTGGAGTTCGGTGAGATGTCTGTTCTAGCGAGCGATCGCGTTTCGCTTACGTTCAACTTTGGCAGCAACTCGCTACGGTACTTGGCGTGTCGATCTATTTTTGGTTACTCATTACAGATCTCCTCGCTCGTCCTCGCGTCAACCTACCTCTTTCTACCCATCTCTCTTGAGCCCCGACACTAAATGACCACAAACACAAAGATCCTGCCTTCGCTGTCTGCACGCGTAACAAGCAGAGTGATTCAACAAGTCGAGTCAAGAATCGATGCAAGCTATATCAGATCGTAATTATAATAACTTGTAACTTGCACTCGAACTCTCGACTTTCTCCTCAGCCCCTGGGTGCAAAGGAAGCTGTACCCGGATTCTCTCACTTATTCTATAATCTCTACAGCTTGTCACACGTACGTAGTAAGCTCTGGAGCCAGGAGCTTCTGTGCGGGCTGAAACCAGATGACAGCAGCAGCAGCCTCGAGTAGCCTGGTATATGTAAACCAATCAATCCATCGTCGATGCGTCTATCACCTCTACCAAATAAACATCCAAAATCACACAGAGTTCTCGGGCGCGAGTATGTATTTTCTATGCGCTGCAGCACATTCGTTCCGCTGGATTCCAGTTCCAGCTTGATACAAAGCAAGCAAGCGGCGGCGAGCTCAAGAAGTAGTTTTTGTTTTCCCTTGCAGAAAATACAGATCTGTTGCGCAGATCCTGAGCATGCAGAGTAATCGTGCTACCCGGGTACTAGGTAGGTGGCATCTGGGTAGCTAGCTGCCTGCTATATGCCATCCACGCCAGTAATAGAAACAAAATCATCTACCCGAAGACCCGATCGCAGCAGCACGCGTAACGGGCTCCGGCATTCATCGGTATGTACTATTATCGGATTAGCTGTACTGCATCCATCTGTAATATTAGATATATCTCCCGTAAGCCGCTTCTCTAAACGACTTAAGTACTGCTGCTTACTATTGAATTTATTAATGTTCTGATCTACACCAGTCTATCCAAAATTTCTAATAAACCAAGTCAAATCTCAGATTTATTAAACGAGAATGTGAAGAAAAAGCAGGCCATTTGAATAATATATTCTCAATTCAAACTAACCGCCGTCGTTTATTTCCTCTTACTAGCTTACACTCAATCAAAGAACTTGATCGCCGACAGGTTTCAGAACGGTATACATAATATATATAAATCTCAATCGAGTTTCCATTCGGCTCGCCAAAACTTAAAAGACATATTCGGAATCTCGTTAACAAGATTGCAGTATAATACAATACAATGCAATGCAGTAAAATACAAAACAATACAAAACAATACAAAACAATACAAGATAATACAACATAACATAATAAACTACAATACCATACAATACAATACAATAAAATACAAAAAACCCAGCGCCTCAGCGCACGCAATCATCATAACCGTAACTTCAAAGAACCTCTCCTTCCTCGCTTGGGGTATCACGCGCTTCTCATCTGCCCTATCTATACCCTCTGATGAAAGTTATAAAACGCCAAAAAAAAAAAAAAAAAAAAGCCATCAAAGCATAAGAGGGCGCAAAATAAACCCGCTCCTACGTCCGATCCGCGAATATCAAACAAGCCATCGAAAACGTCAGCCCCCTATGTTCGATTATGCGCCAGACTCTCAGGCATAGCCCAAATATCGAACTACTTCTTCATCTCCTCGCTCTTTACAATCCCCTCCATTCTGTCCCCCTTACTAATCCCATTCAATTCCCTCTGCTTCTTCACGCCATTTGGATTTGGAAATCCGAATGGAATCGCACTAGTACTCGTGAAGACCGGCAAGTTATTTCCCTTTTTCTGGCCCACCTTCATTGGACTCGGCGTATTAGTGTTGGGCTCTAACCACTGCAGGGGATGTTCTTGCGCCGCCAGCGCCAGAGGCAGAGGACCTTTGGGTTGATAGGGAATAAAGACATCAGGGGCGGCAGCAGAAGAAGGCTGGATGGGCTTTGCAGGGCAGGACGCGTTGCTACCGTTATGCGGCACAGGCGGCGAAAGAGGCGAAGAGGCCGTGAGAGAAACCCGAGCTGGTTTCTGAAGGTCTGTTGGGACTGGAGGTCGAGGTGTTGATGGTAGTTTAGGAGTAGACGCTGCTACCGGCTCAGGCTGTGGTGGAGCGGGGGTCACATCACCAGCTGTTGATGAAGCTGCAGATTGCCGCGGAGGTGTTGCAACTTCTTTCGTCGACGGCGCTGGTCTTGGAGATTTGGGGGCTGCAGGCTTCGCAGCTGCTGCCTTTGCCTCTCGCTGCGCTTTGGTCGTCAGACTGATCTTCACTTTTTTCATTCCCGAGGTCAGACTGTCAATATCCGAGGTCTGGGACGTTGCTTTTTCAATTGAGGGCAGTACCACGCTGGACGATCTTGAAGAAGGTTCCGTTGCTCCTTCAGTACCTACAGGCGCTACGCCACTATTATTGAGTGGCGATTTTCTGCGAACGCGCGAAACCTTGGGGGCCTCCCTAGGCTGAACCGGTGCTCTCGTCTTCTTGACCGCAGTTGGCGCAGCAGATTGGCCGCGCACGCTCATGGAAGATTCTGGTCGGACACTTTGAGCAGTTCCGGGCCGCGTTGACAGTCTTCCGTTAGATGCTACTCTGTAGCCGTTCTTACGCGGTGGTACCTCCGAAATCACAGATCCAGCATTGGAAGATAAGCTGAGCCGACGGCTGGATTGAGCGGTGGGTTTGGTATAGTCTGGCATCGGGGTTGTGCTCCTTGATGGCGCCTTTATATATAAATTAGCGTCCGTCTCGGAAAACAAGGAAGATATGTCCTTACAGTACTACCGGCAAGAAGAGCGGCCCCAGCAACAGTCTTCCGACGGCTGGCCTTCGCGACAGGCTTCTTGACCCCATCCTCGTCGCTCTCAACAAGCGGCTTCGCAGGCTTTCTCGCCCTCAAAGCCATTCTACCAGTTGACGTCTCCACAGGCTCGGCCGTGGTGGGTGGTGTCATGACAGATTGCCGGTCTCGCCTGGCACGAGTGGCTTCTGCAGACAGATCTTCTTGCCTGCAGCTCATAGTCTGTCTGTCGGTTGGAATGAGAAGTTTACTTAGTTCATGGGCAGCTACCGCCCAGTCGACCTCTGGAGGGGGCGGAGATGGTGCCCTCAAGGGGGCACGAGGAGACCCATTTCGCACGCCCATGTTGGCAACGTTTTTTCTGGCCGACGGAGAGGACACTTTGGCGATAAAAGATTGGGTCGGGGACGAATATGTCGGTGCCGGAGCGTATCGTGGCCTCCTGGGCTCTGAGGGAATCGGTCCTTGATGGACCACAGCATCAAGTTGCTCGAGTCGAGCTACAGACCACCATGAGGGATCGTAATCCTGGACTTGTGAACCTGCAGTCGAAGTCTCCGGGGCAATCTTTCCATCGAAGGTGCCAATCTTCGTGCTCATTTCATGTCCAAGCCCTGTCGGACTGCGTTCCTTACTAATAACCATGGGGTCGCCAGCAGACATACCACTCAGATGACTTAGCACACCGGTGCACAGAGCTCGATCACTATAGCCTCCTTCGAGAACACTGATAATTCGACCATCAACCGCGAGACCTTCTTCACCAGCCAGCTCGACAACATCCCTGGTCAAGCGCGCGTAAAACTCCGTAGGCACATTGACCTTGTGGCGTTGCATCCCCGAACTCTCCCATTCACTTGCATCGAATCCGGCAGATAAGAAGATGGCCCCCCTGGGCTTCGGTCCATGGGGCATTGATCGTAGGCGATCCGTCTGTGTCCGCAGATAGCTCTTAGTCTTCTCCAGAAGAATCGAATACTTCGTCTCGTACAGTTCCCAGAATTCGTTCTCACTCTTCCACGGCTGTAAGTGGACATTCCAGATGCTCTGACCATGAGCGTTCTCAATGCAAAGACTGGCGTTCTTGACCTTCTCCTCGTCGCCCACCTCACAGGGGTAAGAGTTGATATCGTGAAGACTGAAATATCCGATCGAGGTCTTCTTCCACTGATGCGCATTCTTTGGAGCAGATGTGGCGCGCCTGTTGCTTTCCCACGCAATAGCTTGCGATCCATCTCCATGGTGAAGATCAAAGTCGATGATCGCCGCATGGGTCAGACCATGGCTTAATGCCGCGTAAGAGATGCCCACATGCACATTATTTAACCAGCAGAAGCCAGAAGGGTAGCTCGCCGAGCAATGATGCCCAGGAGGCCGAATCGCAACAAATGTCCTGAACGGTCCCTTTCCACTCGCAGAACCCTGGAAAACGGCATCCACACCCTCACACACAGCGCCCAAAGCTCCCTCCATGGCATCCAGCGACTCCGCGCACAGGTAAAGATCACCTTCATGAAGCTTCTCCGGCACCTTCTCATCGGGACTCCGATTCATATTAGGTCTCGTCAACTCCTTCCCATTCATAGCCAGTCTGCTCTCTGCACTGTCGCACATGATCTTCAGCTCCTCCATCCACTTGGCCCCGTGCACATTCGTAACCGCCTGCGAAGAGATGGTCATTTTGCGCGTGGTCTTGCGAATGCAAAACGGCAGGCTGGGCATCGAAGAGACATCCCTATCTGGGTGCAGTGGAAACTGCCCGTCCGCGTGCCGCTCCCCCAGACATACATATGCTGCCGATAGTCCCAGAATGCTCGCATGTATCCTCTCTGGCCTCTCCACAATCGTGCTCAGGCTCGCCTTGGATGTTCGCGGCCTCGAATATCGGTGGCCATAGACAGCATCGTGTAATATTACGATTGTGTCCGCAGACCTCGTATCCTCTCCCTTCTCATGCAAGTCCAGCTCCTCCTTGAAGTGATTGCTTGCAATGCTCGCCGCGGTATATTTTGGGGGCGCTGGCACCTGGTCCTCGATCTCGGAGAGGGGGGACTTGCCCACCAGGGCAGAAGCGTTGGTGAACTGCGCGCCGGTGGATTGGCGCGAGGAGGAAGAATTTCGCGAAGGTGTCACGCTGGCGCCACCCACGCCATGCTGGGAGTTCATCGAGGCTTTCCGAAGCAGTGTCGGTGTCGAAGAGCGCGAGTGAGTGCTCAAAGAACTCGGGGATCGAAGGAGGGGGCTTCGGGATGGGAGTCGAGCATTTGGCGATGCGCTTAGTTGACGCTGCGTACCGAGACTTGGTGATGGAGAGGCGGCGCGGCTGAGGGAGAGCTTCCGGAGGGATGGGGAGAGTTGATAGTCTTGGTACTGGTTTGGAGACGAAGCCATCGTCGGCGGCGCTCCTCTGGCCTTGGACAGATCGTGTGCATTTGGGGGGCTTGAGTGCGACATCTGGACTGGGTAGGCCACGCCACGCCCAACTATGCCGACGAGAGGATCCGGGGGGGAGGTTTTTGGCTTCGATGCGACTGACGCCGGCGGATGAGGATATGTTCTTCTTCTTCTTCTTCTTCTTCTTCTTCTTATTCTTCGGAGTTTGACGTAGATTACACGAAGTTCCTGAATTACCGAAAGTTCGTTAAGTACCGAACGGTTCTGTGCCTTGTGTTACGCGTGCTGCCTGGCGAAGGTGCGTGCATCTTGACGAAACGCGCTCCCCTGCTCTAAAAGGCTTGTTTTGAGGCAGGCATGAAGGTCACCAACATCAGAATCAGAGGTTTCGAGTGGGTCAGGAAGCTTACATCTCTTTCTAACTTTTCTATTCCAACATTTTCAACAGACCAATCTGAGTTGTGATTTACAACTATCTAATAACTTCTTTGCTTAGCACTTCTTGCTTTGCAATGTAAGATCAATGCTTCATTGCAGTCGGTCGCTGATACCGGTACTTGATACTGATATAAAACCAGCTTCTCAGAGACGCGAGCGAATGTAAACAAACACTCCGTACATGGATACCAACGAACCCACGCCCGGCCTCTGGCCCATATCCAACAACCAAACACCGGAATTATAGACTACGAAATGATATAAGAACGGCTGGCATAAACAACAGCATCGTATCCATACAAACAGGGTACTGTGTTCCGGGTATATAAATCGGTCCGCCACTCCAAACATGCATGTATGGGTACTTCAATCTTCCTCTCGATCCAATCTTTGACCTCACCGTCGCACCCGCATCCGGATCCAATCGGGCTCAGCTTCTGGCCGTCAAACAAACATCACATGCTGTCCTCCATCTGCTTACTCCTCATCCTCTGCCAACTCTCCTTCTCCGCCCTCCCGCCATCCTTCTCCAAGCCCATGCCTCTCTCGACCCACTCCTGACTGCCCATCTCACTCAACCGACTCAACGCCCTTGCAAAAGCAAAGCGTTCCTCATCGCCGCTGAATATACTGCTGCTCTTCAGGGCCTTCATATTCAGGCCCAGGTCATCCATGAGGTTCCGCATCGTGGAGTCCAACTCCTCGTGCAGGTCCTCTACTTGGCCCTTCTTGTCCTCCGCATCTTTCTTCACCGAGTTCTCGAGCTCATCTTTGGATAGAAAAAGTTGCGTCAGAGGAACTGCGGTAGTAAGCACGAGTTTGGCGCGGGACTCGTACACGGCGTCGATGAACGTGATAAACCTCCGGGCAAGATCACGTTCGCGATGTGTCATGCCAGGAACGCCTGTTACGACAAAAGCATCGTAACTCCGACACAGCTCGATGTAGTCGGCCGCGCTTGTTGGGCGTCCGATCAATTCATCGAATGTGAACATCGCGGCTCTCCCACTGACCTTCGGGACGTGAATCTCACGCCCCCATACCCGCTGCGTTTCTGAGCGAGGTTGGTCTTGCTCTGGATCTCCGAGAAAGCGGAACCATTTTTCAGCATGGGAGTTGGAGTGCTTATCCAGAGGCGCATGGTAAACGCCCGAGGGCGGGCGGGGGATCTTACGGTAATCCGTAGGAGAGTCCAGGTTGATTACATGCAGTCTATTCTTCAGGAGATTTATGCAGGGGACGAAGGACTCGCGCTGGATGCCGTTGCGGTAGAGGTCGTCTGGGTGGCGGTTGGATGTCGTGACAAGCACTACGCCGTGAGACATCAAGGCTTCGAGAAGTCTAGGGGTCTTTAGCAGTGATCACTAGCACTGGGAGATCAAAGAGCGACATCGTACCTTCTTAGAATCATAGCATCGGCCACATCCGTACATTGGAACTCGTCAAAACACAGCACATTTCCCTTTTCCGCAATGTCCGCCGCCACAAACGGCACCGCATCGATGTCGTTTCCATGCTGCATCTTCATCTGGTGCAAGCGCCTATGAACATCCTGCATGAAGTTGTGGAAATGGATCCGCGTCTTGCTCGTCACGGCACTGGGCAGCGTATCGTAGAACATGTCCATCAGCATCGTCTTCCCACTGCCGACATCCCCGAACAGATACAGCCCTCTGGGTAGGTCATCGGGGATATCTCGGAGCTTGCGCTCCTTCGGCGTGCTCCCCCAGAGACGACCAAGCATGGACGTGGGGGGCGGCTTGAGGGACTCGATGGTGGGATGGATGGTCGGGGGAGCATGGTAGGTCCGCAGCTCGTCGTGAAGATGCTGGAGACTTTCTATGATGCCTGATGAACGCGATCGGTTGTTAGTGAGTGTTGGGTTGGTGGGTTGGTGGGTTCGTGGGCGGATCTACTACTTAACTAACCTCTCTGATGCTCGTCGTTCCGCAGTCTGCCTGTCTCGACTCGGTGATCATACTCCTGCAACGGGCCTCGATCATCTGGGTTCACTGCCACTTCTCATCAGCCCAGCCCAGGTCTGGCTCCCGGTGTCGACGGGCGATAGGCGACTGGGTAACGGTACCATTCTGCACGGTGGCCAACCCTCTCCGCTGTCCGGCGACAATGGGGGCAGCAGGGAGGATAAATCTGGAGCTGGATCCGCCTCGAAATCTGAAATGGGGTCGTCTGGCGCCCGTATCTCTGGATATCACTCCGCACAAGCCTCCAACATCCGCATTCGCATCCGCATTCTCTGTCCCTTCCAACTGTACGCAATATGCCCGCCTGCCAGTCCCTCCACTGCCCAGTGCGATCCGGCGCAAAGCTGTCGCCCGAGTTCTCATGCCGCAAGAACCTACAACCAGCACAAGGAAGAATGAAGGATTGCCAAAAAAAAAATTGCAACGAGCGCGACGCAAAAAAAAATCTAGCAATTGATCATGATCGGAGGAGAAGGAGGAGACGGTGTAGGTACCGGTACACAGTTGAATATGGTGAGCGGATATTGAAACGGCGGGCTTGTCTCGGGAATGTCTTACTTTCTGGAGAATTTGCCGAGGCTGAACTGGGGGAAAAGGATCGCCGTTCGGCCACTCTTATTCGAACCACTGCTTAGAGGTCCGGCCTGAAGAAAGAAGTAGTAAAGATGGATAAGACGGATGAATATATAATACAATGTCCACAACATCTTCTAGATTTAGTTCTTAGCCGCAGCTTCTCCGAAGTTTTTTCTTTGCTAGCTTACTGTAAGTGTAGTCCAGCTATCCAGCTTCCCTCCTCTCTCTTCTCCTCCACCCATCTTCTTTCGACCTCCTTCCCCCCCTATCGTCTCCATTCGATTGTACTACACACATATCATTCCCAGCAGTCATGGTACCACAACCAATGCCCTCGGCGCTGACCTTCGAGTTGATCGCCCGCTGTTCAGTAAGTCCAGGTCCAGGTCCTGGTCCATTCCCTCAGGCGCATCGTATACAGCAGCAGCTCATCATCCGCAGACCACCAAAGCGCGCGCCGCGAACCTGACACTCCCCCATGGTCCCGTCCAACTCCCTCTATTTATGCCCGTCGCGACTCAGGCCTCGCTGAAGGGTCTGACGCCGCAGCAGCTCGAAGCAACTGGCTGCCGCCTCTGTCTGAACAATACCTACCATCTCGGATTGAAGCCCGGGCAGGAAGTGCTCGAGAAGGTCGGAGGCGCGCATCGGCTCCAAGGATGGAAGCACAATATTCTGACGGACAGTGGCGGGTACAGCGTTCCTCCCTTCGCACTGAAAAGAAAAGCAGGCGCTGACGGGCGTTCCCAGCTTCCAGATGGTCAGCCTTTTACAGCTGGCGAAGATCACCGAGGAAGGCGTCCGGTTCCTCAGTCCGCATGATGGAACCCCGATGTTGCTCACGCCCGAGCACTCGATCTCGCTGCAGAATACGATTGGGAGTGATATTATTATGCAACTGGACGATGTGCTGGTTACGACGTCCCCGGATGCGAAAAGGATGCGCGAGGCCATGGAGAGAAGTGTGAGATGGCTGGACCGGTGTATAGCAGCACATGCGAATCCGAATACGCAAAACCTCTTCTGTATCATTCAAGGCGGCTTGGACCTCGAGATGCGGAAAGAGTGTTGCGAGCAGATGGTTGCGAGGGGAACGCCTGGAATAGCCATCGGGGGGCTCAGTGGCGGGGAAGCCAAAGCGGATTACTGTCGTGTGGTTAATACGTGCACAGGTCTCCTTCCGGAGCTGAAGCCAAGATACGTGATGGGCATCGGCTATCCCGAAGATCTGGTCGTCAGCGTTGCGCTGGGAGCCGATATGTTCGACTGCGTATGGCCAACGAGAACGGCTAGATTTGGGAACGCCATCACGAAACACGGCGTTCTGAATCTCAAGCATGCCCGGTATGCAAATGACTTTGGGCCTTTAGAAGAAGGATGTGGGTGCGTCTGCTGCCGGACAGGCGAGGGAAAGCTGGATATCACGAGGGCTTTCGTCCATCACGTCGCTGCGAAGGAAACCGTTGGGGCCCATCTACTGACCATGCACAATGTATGGTATCAGCTGGCTCTGATGAGAAGCGTCAGGGAAGCCATTATTGAGGATAGGTTCCCAGCTTTGCTGAGGACCTTCTTCTCGGACCTCTACGGTGGTGTCAAATCCCAGTATCCGGACTGGGCTGTCGAGGCTCTACGGTCGGTCGGGGTTGATCTGCTGGTGGATTAAGTAGGAAAATTTTGGTTCCATGTCCGGAGCTCATCAAGGGTCGGAAACTGCCCGTCCATGGCACCTTTTTCAAATCCCAATGAACTTTCGCGACTCGACGAGATCAATCATACTCTGCCCCAAGTCTATAAACCGAACTCGATTCCAAGGATCTCTTCACTAATTGTATAGCTGAACACATACGGTCCTTCGTCAGGATATCCCTGGAATGTCTGCGCAGCGACCCAGGACCCACGATCCGCGACTCGCATTAGGCTATTTGGAATTTCAACAGTATCAAGACTCACCCACCAATTCTGAGGATCATATCTCCACGTAGCATCGAAGTGGATAGGGAGCCGAAGAGGCGAGAGCGGGATATCTATTTCCTCCTAGCCCGTATATGCACCTCGATTATTACACATTATCCACCAATGGGATAGATCCTTTTCTTCTTGACTTGAAGATGGTATCTAGCCATTTCAAGTTTCATCTACTGGCCTACTTATGTCGGTATGTACTGATCTAACATGAGAGCTGGCTGTCTCGGAGGCCACTGGTGCGAGATAGAAAGACGCAAGCTCGGAACTTGGAAGAGGCCTTTTATTCTCTTCCCCACCTACCGACGGGGCCTGGGATGCGGATGGCAAGGGCCAGTCAATCTGGGACCGATTTGCATATACGCCGGGCACGGTCCAAGATGCGAGTATACCCGACGATGCGGTGCCCTCCTATTATAACTCGGACTCGCTTCTAAGTGCTCTTTGGGCGAGGATCTAAACTAGAGTCTAGGAAGCTTGTGAGATTGTTGATATTCTGTAGGGAAGACCTCAATGATATCGATGGTAGCTGAGGAAGTCATGCTCAAAGAGCACGGCATGAGATGAGATTGGGTGCATTCCCTCCGTCCAAGAACAAACCAAAGTCGCACACCACGAGCTATCTTCCGGGTTGAATCTGCGTTGCGAGCGGAACTAGACCTCGTGGGGTTGCATCCCGAGCTGGAAAGCGTGTCTGGATGTAAGTCATCGTTGAATTTTCTGCCTTGGGATCGGCACTATCTTGGACTTCAAACCACCAGTAGACCGCGTTCGTTCCGTTTTCAGTCGTTATAACTTCGTTCTGGTTGCAGCACAACTGAGTGACCAGACTTCTGTTTGTAATTTGTCAGGCGGCTTGTACGTGGGAATGCGAATTCAGTGCATCGAATCCTGACATATTGTCAGTACCTCATTCGGAGGAGAGATTCCAGGCGATTTATTCCCAAGGGTTTCGATTTACAATAAACTTCAAACGTCGTAAATTCGCCGAAGTAAATCTCTTCAAAGACACATCAAGGAGGAGGACGTGATTGCATACCTTTTCATCGCGGACTGTCTGCCATCTGCTCGTCGGAGGTGTAGGCATATGCGCTTCCGTGCTCCAACCTCGTCAGGCTTCCAGCAATTGAGCATGAAGATCAACTCATTTTTCTGTTCAGAGAGAAGTTTGGCCTGAACAGCCTCCAGTGTCGGCCAAATAATGACCCCGACACCGTAGAGCACTGAAATCTGTGCGACGGCAAGGTACTTGGCCTTCACAACTCGGATCCGGGATGGAATCCGGATTCCTCCTTGTGTCCCGGCGAAGATCCCAGGTACTGCGGAAAATACCTCATCAAGTCCACCTCCGCCTCTGTCACCAGTCGTGCTGACCTGTGTAGAATCCTTGAACCAGCTCGGATGTAGCGCCAGGAGACCCCATTCGTCTGGACCCCAGCCTTGGAGGTTCCTCTCGCCGCCGTGAGGCATCCTCCACGCAAAAAGAGATTCATCGGTCAGGGTGGACAGCAGGAGAAGCTGGAGCCGCATGAACGCCCAGTTCCCTTCCCCATACTGAGGTACCATGGTGACATTGAGGATACCCAGCATGCTGTACGCCATGTCTTCCTCGCGAACAGTTGTGCGGTTCGCTATCCAGCTCATCTTTGTCGCGATACTAGCGCTGCTGAAATGCATGTCGCCTCGAAGATACTGCCCATCAATCCCGGTGACTTCTTGGAGCTCGCTCATCAGTGAGCTCTTCGTTCCGAGTAGTTCCCAGCTCGTGTCGTAGAATTCCATGTGCCGTGGTGCTAGCAGTTCCTGTAGTGTCCAGCCGCGAGAGAACCACACAGATGGCTTTGACGGCTCTCTCTCTTCAACCTGATTGAACACTGAGAATGATACCTTTGCACCTTCGCTGTTTCTGGCCACGCTTTCAGACTTCCTGACATCGCCAAGATACGCAAAACACACTTTTGAATCTCGGTACCACTTGAACATCGAATGGATAGCTTCTGCCAGCTCCGCGGAGCTCCCTTTGTTGATGCAGCAACTGTCTATCCAGACCCATCTCAGCTTTTGTTCTCGTGCCTTCAGACACAAACCCCGGATCTTCTCCAGCTGTGGTGGTAGTGGCTGCTCGGACGAAAGCTGTGCGATGAAGGAATGATATTCATTAAACGTGATCTCTTCGTCGTCCCAGCGGTGGGAGAGGATCGCGTAGCCTTCAGACCTGAAGAATGACGGAGGGCCCTCGTGCAAGGCAAATGTCTGGGTATTGATTTGCCACATGGTGTCGTGGCACGCGTACCTCCGCGGTTCTTTGGATGCGCGTGGTCTCTTGACGGCGAATTCGGGAATGGAGGTTGCTCTCGCTCTCGCTTGTATCGTGCGTGAATCTCCACGGTCGCTCTGAACGGATACGGGTACGTCTGTTTGTTGTTCACCTCAAGCAAACTCGAAGCCAGAGGTGACCAGATGGTCTGATGGGAATCAATCACTCAATGTTCCACGACGCCGTCGGCAAATGATGCCTGGCGCTGCGCCTCCACGTGTGCATGCTGGAGCCCCGACCATTTAGGTTATGATCTTTAGCATTAGGCAAGGCTATTTCGGGACATGTCACCAAGCTGGAAATGTCGCTTCAAAATCCGACCTGCAGAAGCTGTTCGAACGGTACTTCTATCAGAAGAACCTATTGTGCTAACAAATATGTGGTACTATGCTTGGCCAGAACGTATGGTCCCTGTAGTATCTAAAGGCGCAAGATGAGCCCTATGAGTAGGAGTCGGTATCTAATAGAAACCGTTATCTAAAAGCTTCGCGAGAGAATGGAGGGCTAAGCTGGAATGGAGACCCAAGGTACGGACGAAGCGATACACAATCTTCTGCACTGAGCAAAGGAGCTATCCAACTTTCAAATATTCAACGGAAGATCTTTCTGATCGACTCCATATCTACATTTTCATCTCGTCTCTTGGTCGCTATGTATAAGCTTTATGAAGTGATACCTTGTTTTTTTCTTTCCCCACTTCTCTCGCTTACTACCCCTATTCTCGCTTGAAAGGACAGGACCTTTGTTTTTCATTTTTCATTTTTTTCTTCAAATAGAGCCAGGCTCGCTCTCACCCTCTGAGCTAAAGACTGATAGGCATTAAAGATTCTCCATAAAATCACTTCCCGAAGAATTTACGTGTTGGCGCCGTTAGCGGGCTAGGAAATACCCTCGCCACAAGGGCCGGACGAGGTTTCTCCTTTGGAAGAGCTCCGGCACAGATCGTCGCGAAGTCACTCGCATCTCTTCCCTAATCCGAGCACGGCTGCGACTTTTATCTCATCTCCAGGGTAGGACGAGCAAGGAAATGATACCGGCAATCAAGCTTGCCGGATCGCTAGTCCATGTCCTGCAAACGCTGTAGCATTCTGGTGGTGGACATATGAGCTGTCCGTCTCGGAGGCCATCGACCCGAGATGGAAAGACGCAAGCTCGGAACGTGGAAGAGGCCTTTGGTTTTCTTGCTTGCTCACTTACTTACCTCCCGCCTAATATGATCGATTCCTTTACTTGTAGTACATTGCCTGAGAAATCAAATCAATCGCAACTTTTCCCCGGCTGACATTCTTCGCGCCATGGAAGCCGCTGCGACTGAGAAAGTGAGAGACCTGAAAGGAGTCCTGCGGCCAGACTTCTGCTGGGGATACGCGACTGCAGCCACGCAGGTCGAGGGCGCCTGGGACGTGGATGGCAAAGGCGAGTCAATCTGGGACCGATTCGCACACACGCCGGGCAAGGTCCACGACGCGAGCACTCCCGACGATGCGGTGCTCTCCTACTACCAGACAAAAGAAGACGTGGCGCTGCTGAAATCTTACGGTGTCACCGGATACCGCTTCTCCCTGGCGTGGACGCGCATCGTCCCACTTGGAGGGAAGGACGACGCGGTGAACGAGGAGGGCATTGCGTACTACAGCGGTCTGATCGACGAGCTGCTCGCTAACGGCATCACGCCCTTCGTCACGCTGTTCCATTGGGACATGCCCCAGGCCCTTGAGGATCGCTACGGTGGCATGCTGAACCAGGAGATGTACACGGCGGACTTCGTGCGCTATGCAGACGTGTGCTTTGCGCGGTTCGGGGATCGGGTCAGAAATTGGATCACTTATAACGAGCCCGGCGTTTACGCCCTTGCGGGCTAAGCAGCTGGCGTACACGCCCCAGCCCGGTCCTCGAACCGGGCGCTGAACTCTGAGGGGGATGCCTCAACGGAGCCCTTCGTCGTCGGCCATACGCAGCTCATCTCACACGCCTACGCTGTGCAGCGGTACCGCGAGAAGTTCCAGCCGACGCAGCAGGGCCAGATCGGCATCACCCTCCACGGCAACTTCTCCCGACCCTGGGACGCCCAAGATGCACGGGATGTCGCGGCCGCGCAGCGCGCCCTGGAGTTCGAGATCGCCTGGTTCGCCGACCCGGTGCACCTGACGGGCGACTATCCGGCTTCGATGCGGGCGCAGCTGGGTGAGCGGCTTCCCGCTTTCGCCCCCGCGGAGACAAGACTGGTCCGCGGCAGCTCGGACTTCTACGGCTTGAATAGCTACACCACCTTCTTCGTGCGGCATCTCCCCACCCCGCCACCCGTGGACGACCACTCTGGGAACGTGGAGAAGCTGGATGCGGACGCGGCGGGCGTATCGCGGGGGCCGGCGAGCGATACGTACTGGCTTCGAACTGCCCCCGGCGGGTTCAGGCTGTTGCTGAGTTGGGTGTGGAAGAGGTATGGAGTACCGATCTATATCACCGAGAATGGGACGACGGCAACGGGCGAGACGGAGCCGAGCGAGAGCGTGCTCGACGACCGGTTCCGAATCGAGTTTTTTCAGGGTTATATCGAGTCGGTTGGGAGGGCCGTCAAGGAGGATGGGGTCGACGTGCGGAGTTACTTTGCCTGGACATTTACCGATAATTGGGGTGAGCACTGCCTCCCGGCCCCTTGAATCCCCCTCCTCTCTTTCATCTATTCCCTGAACGCAGATTCGAAAGATGTAGTGACTGATTGATGATCCAGAATGGGCTGCAGGCTACTCTGATCGATTCGGCGTGACTTTTGTTGACTTTGAGTCGCAAGATAAGAAGAGGTATCCAAAGAAATCAGCAACAGTGATCAAGGAGCTGTTCCAGCTCATGGTGAAATCTGAGTGAAAATAAATGACGAGGAAATTACAAGAAAGCCATCTTATTTAGAATAAATAGAGTGTAGTCCCGCCCCTGTAAACCTCACCCGTTGCCCAGCAGGGAATTGGAGCAGCCCATCTTTACCGAGCAGCGACCTGACCATAACAGGCTCCTTCACAACCCCGTCGTCCCATGCGAAATCGAGTTCGAATCCTCCTCGTGCTCTGACTCCCTTTAACAGCCCGGACTTCCATTCCTTAGGGCACGCAGGGAGCAAGTGAATGAAGCCATCGTGGGATTGGATCAACATCTCGACAATGCCGGCACACCCGCCAAAGTTCCCATCAATCTGAAACGGCGGGTGGCTATCCAGCATATTGGGCAGCGTCGAGTCTCCTAGCAATCGTTTGACATGATCCCAAGATCCCTCGGCGTCGCCGAGACGTGCGTGGAGATTGATGAGCCAGGCTCGACTCCAACCTGTGTGTCCGCCTCCGTGCTCCGCTCGGCGCTTGAGCACCACCGCACTCGCTGCCGCAAGACCAGGCGTCGTGTTAGGACTGATAGCACTGCCTGGGTATAGCGCCCAGAGGTGCGACGTGTGTCGATGGCCGGGCTCGTGTTCGCCGTAGTCTTTCTGCCACTCCTGGAGCTGGCCCAGCGATCCGACGGCCATGGGCGGGAGGCGATCTCGGGCGTGTATGACTGCGGGAAGCAGGTCGTCGGTGCGGTCCAGCTCTCCCAGCGCGTCGATGAATGCGCCGAACAGGGCGTTGATGATCTGGATGTCGATGGTGGACCCTTCGCAGAGTACCCCTTCGCGGTTGTTTGCGCTCAGAAAGGTATTCTCTGGCGAGAGGGACGGGTTGGTTACGAGGTATTGACCCGATGTTGCATCTTCCACTAGGAAATCCAGGATGAATTGCACAGACCCCTTAAGGATTGGGAACATCCTCTCGAGGAGCGTTGTGCTACCGTTGAACAAATAGTTTTCCCAGATGTGGAAACACAACCAAGCACCAGCAAGGGGCCACACTAATCGACTATCTTCAGTACAGCAGTGAAAGGTCGCGCAAGAGGGAAACATACCAGTGGCAGGCACCCATCGGTCCTGCGGATCCGTATCTGCCCAGATATCCGTGTTGTGGTGCGCACACCAGCCTCTGCACCCGTACATCTCCTGGGCCGTCTGCTTCCCCCGAATCGCCATCCTCTCAAGCAAGTCGAAGAGTGGCATCTCGCACTCGGCAAGGTTGCACAGATTTGCCGGCCAATAGTTCATCTGCGTGTTGATGTTGATGGTGTATCTGCTCCCCCATGCCGGCTGGAAGGAGGGATTCCAGATCCCTTGCAACGTGGCGGGAAGTGCTCTAGGACCTGGGCGACTGGAGGCCACGAGGAGATAGCGGCCATAGTTGTGGTAGAGCGCAACAAGACCAGGGTCAACAGACCTTAAAAGTCGCTTGTCTGTTGACAGCTCCGATGCAGGTGAGCCCAGTTGAAGCTTCATCCGCGCATACAGCGACCTGTAGTTCTCGACATGCCGTCCTCGCAGACCACCCCGAGTCAAAGCCCGCGTTGCATCTTCCAATGCCGCAGACTCGGGGTCTGGACTTCGGAACTTGGTCTGGGCGGAGATGACAATCATTGTCGCTTTGGACTCGATTACCAGGCATCCTCCAACCGCTTCGAGCGTCCCGCCATCTTCGCACTTGACTTTCACCACACAGCATAGCGGGTTACTCCCTCTCCCCCCAGGAGTCGCACGCATGACGATAGATCCATCGTTGGACGCAGTGACGGAGTCTAGATATTCGTTTGTTTCATACTCTCGCTCGCTTACGCGGGTCAATCGAAGGGTGGCCCTAACGCGCTCCGAAGACTTGAGCTGCAGGACTATGACATTGTCCGGCCCGCTGGCAAAGACCTTTCTCTTGTAATCAACACCACGGTAGCGGTACTGAACACTCGCGATGGCAGTCTCAAGATCAAGCTCTCGCTTGTAATCCGTTACCTCACTATCCTCATGTCCAAACTCGAGCGTGAATGTACCCAGAGGCTCGTAATGCCGTTTGCTATGTGGCGTAGCGAAGAAGGCTTTGCGCACCAAGTCTTCCGCCTCGCTATGTTGCTCCGCGCGGATCAGCTCGCGGAGCCGTGGCAGATTCTTGAGAGCATCGCGAGGTATCCTGTCTTGTGGACCACCGTACCACACCGAGTCTTCGTTCAACTGCAGCAATTCGGTCGTGGTACGACCGTAGACCATAGCTCCCAGTCGACCGTTGCCGATGGGGAGACTTTGAGACCATTCTGTAGCAGGCGTTGTGTAGTGGAGTCGGTTCGCCATGATGTTGGCTGTCACTTCGTTGCTCAGTAATATCGGTAGGTACGTTTCCACTCAAATAGTACAAATGGTATGATCAGTTTTAGGTGTGGGGGGCCTCTCTGTCTTTTAGTTCAAGGATTGTGATATGCCGACCTGCCCACCGAATCAGCCTATCAAATGTGATCAGGTTTTTGGGGGTCTGGAAGCATTTCGTGTCCCTTCCGAGCCTCCAACGCGTATGGCAAAGAAAAGCCACCAGAGTTGGTCCCCGCAATTCAGGAGCTCGGTTGGCCTCTAGATGCTGCCATCTTGAGCTCTTCGAGCCATTTCTCGTATGGGGTCGGAGGTGTCGAAGAAAGTCCACCAATCAACATGGAAAGTCACCAGTCAGTAACTAGTGAAGATATATATCTCTGGGGAAGTGCGGGGGAGAGCCTCGCTCGGCAAAGGTGTTGATGGGACAGACGGCTTGCAGGACCGAGGTTCCCCAGGTAAAGTGGCATCTGGGGATGCGGAGGTGGACCGAAGATCTGGGAATGTCGCCTTGCCTGACATAAAGGCCGTCGGCCGAGCCGAGCTTAGGACGCTCTTCTCTCATTGCGTGTGGAATTAGAACATTCAATGATCGGCGAGCCGTAAAAATCTTGCATTACGTGGAGGGTCTTCGCAATCATCTCTCCTGCTGAGCTTTATTCATCATGTCTTCCAGATACGACAACGGACTAGAGACCGTCGATACCAACGATGAACATCTCGCCAACAATAAGACAGCTCCAGCTCATCTTGAAGAGGTCGTCCTCGCCCGGCTAACCGAGGACGATGTTTACGCTCTCTCCCAGGACTCACTTCACTTCAAGTCCTGGACAAGCTTTCGAATCTTTCTCTTGATGTTGGTGATGGGCTGCAACCAAGCAGGATACGGTATCGACTGGACGGTGATCGGTGGTATCAACGCCTATCCAGCATGGCATGATTAATTTGGATTCGAAACCAGCGGAACGACATTTGCAACCGTCAATGCTCTGATGACAATCGGGACAGTCTGCGGAGCACCCTTTCTAGCCCTGTCGGATGTTATCGGCCGTCGAGGGATCAACTTCCTCGGAAACTTCATCGTTATCCTGGCAGCCCTCCTCCAGGGACTGTCTACCAATCTGGCCATGTTCAGTAGGTAGTGCAGAAGCATGTCTTATAGTTCTTCCTGAACTTCCACCTTCGGGGAGCATACTGACTCCCCCATGTCCAATCTTTATAGTGGCTGGCCGCTTCTTCCTCGGCTTCGGCTCTGCCCTCATGTCTGCCCCCCAGTACATGGGAGAAGTTGCCCCAGCTCATCTCCGTGGTCGGCTAGTAGGTGACGAGAGTCGAGAGCGCCTACGATTTCCTGTTTCTCATGGTCCTGAGATACCCGAAACATATAACTGACCCCACCGTGTCCTCCAGGTTGGTCTATTTGGAGCTTGCTTCCAGGTTGGAAGTTTGGGTATGAGTGCTGCACTGCTTGGATTCAACAAGATGCGCGGAGATTGGGGATGGAGGGTTCCGCTACTCCTCGAAGCTCTTTTTCCAACCATCGTCTGCGCCACCATATACTTCCTTGCGCCGGAATCCCCCCGATACCTGATCATGAGAGGTAAGAAGGAAGATGCCAAGAAGATGATTGCGCGGTACCATACGACCGAAGGCAACAATGTCAATCATCCTCTTGTCAGTGTTGTTGTTCGGCAAATCGAGGAATCCTTGGCGGCCACACCAAAGAACAGAGAGGTTTGGGATTTTAGAGCCTTCTTCAAGAGAGGCGCTCGATACCGCGTCCTCGTCCTCGTCATGTACTCGATCTTCCAACAGTGGAATGGCGGCGGGATCATAGGCCAATACCTGGTGCCTGCCCTGCAGACAACCGGTATCGATAACTCCCAGCAGCAACTGGGCTTCAATTTCGGCTCGGTCGCCGTCTACTTCGTCTTTACCGTCTTCGGCTCCTTCATAATTGACAGATTCAATCGACGGACCTTGATCTTCGCGGGCCTGATGGTTTTCATTACCCTGCAAACGGCCGCGACGATAACCTCGTGGCAGTACAATCTCCACGGATCCAAGACCCAAGCAGCACTCACCGTCGTGTGGATCTTCATCTTTCAAGCATGCTCGGCGACCCTCATTGCCACGATGCACAATTTGTACCCCGTGGAGCTCCTTTCCCTTGCCCTCCGAGCCAAGGGTATGGCCCTCTACGGTCTCATTCAGGGGGCGGCCGGAACGGTCAACAACTACGGCATCTCGGTCGGGATCAACAAGATAGGGTACAAAATATGGGTGGTGTATGTTGGATACAATTTGGTCCAGTTGGTTCTCGCGTATTTCATCTTTCCCGAGACACATGGATTGACGCTGGAAGAGATGGATGCCGTGTTTGAGACGCCGGGAGTCAGACCCGTAAAGATGTCGATGGATATACAGAAAGCGAAAAAAGAGAAGGCGAGACAAGAAGCTCAACGTATCGATATGGTGAGATTTAAAAATCGTGTCAAAGAACCTGGACAGTCGGGGGTCGCGCGATAAATGAATAGAGATGGAGATGAAGACGAAGCGAAACTGGCGAGAGACATTTGATGCGACAATTAATTCTCTTTGTCGGAACAAGAATCGATGCATGTCGGTCGCTGTCAAGAAGAGCTGTATCCTTTCATGTTTTGCACTTAATGCAGTAGTCCGTACTCGAGTCTTCCTATCATCCCAGTTACTCCCGATGCAAAAAGTACCCAGTATTATTGTGATGCTTGTTCTAGATTCTCGTCACCCATTCCCTCTGCCTTCTGGTCTTCCGCCGTGGCCGCAGCCTCCCTCCGCTCTGCCCAGGCCTTCACGAATTCAATATCTCGATCATGCTGAGTTGCGGGCCAATACCGCCACTCACTGGCCTCCGAATTCCACCCCCGATTTGGGAGGTAAGCCTCCAGCATGTAATAGTTGTCCCGATGGAACGGAAAGTCCATGGACGGCGGCCCGCTGCGCTCGAGGAAAGAGTCCGTCTCAGACTCGGCATCCTCGACCGACAGGAGAAACCTTCGACGCCTGTTCCCTTTGTTGTTCCCGTGTCGCTGGATGGAACCCACGGTAGACTTGAGATGGCCTTCCAGGATCCTGACATACCACAAGGGACTCTTCAAGGCCTTCTGCACCACTTTCGCGTTCGCTCTCGTCAGCCGGTGATTCCACTTTGGATGCTTCCCTCGCTCAATCATGGTGATCGGCTCTCCTTGGTCAAGGTTCGGCTGCCAATGGGCGAAGTCAACAACCAGGTTGAGATTGTTCCACGCCAATATACACGTCAGACACGTGCAGATGAGGTGCGGATCTGGAGGCGTGATGTGTTGGTAGGGTCTTTTGTGGATATTCATTGCTGCTTGTCGCTCTTCACTGAGCAGAGCAGGATGCATGTCGCGGTCGACATTTTCAAGCAGGACGGGTAGAGGGAAGCATTTTGAAAGGACGGAATATCGCCGGGCTATAATCTTTCGACAGAGTGTAAGCTCCTCAGCGAGGACGAACTTTTGCCAGGATCTATTGACGTGCGATAGGGCAAATATATCACTCGGGCGTAACAGTAACAACAGCTCCGTGAGAAGTTCGCGAGGCATGTCCCATATGGTTGCACGCGCATCCAGTTTGGATGTCTTCAGCTGGTGTTTCTTCTGGCGTCGCTCTGTTCGTTTGGAGCGGAGAGGGATGGCTGCGGTGGTATCGATGAGCCGCTGTTCCATGTTCATGATATTGAAAAGGTGTCTTGAAAGTGTTGCGTAGGATTGATGGATGGATGGATGGAGAAGTGGCTGGCTGACGGGCGGATTTGCGTACTTTGGAGTCGTGATGCTGCAGTTGGGTGGCAAAACAATTGGGAGTCGTAAGCGAAGCGGACTCCGGACTTAGGATCCGCCGCTCCGCTTTCGCGTATTTTGTAGTCCAATCATGGGAATATTTAGGAACAGCGTTAGGATTTCAAATATGTCTATAATCATCTGTGATTGATCGACATATGAAAAGAACCGACAAACTATTAAGGTATGCACTCGAGCTCTGAGGACTACGTAATACCGTTACAAAGCAAAATTCACTCCCACACCCAGGTCCCGAGGGCTACTAATGTCACGCAAAAGAAAGATGGACGACGAATCATGTATAATTCCCGGTAGCGGATACAGTTGACTAAAGATCAAAGTCTTAGCTGATCGCTGATGTGTATTCTTTACTTTCGACTCGTGTTACTGTAAACACCTCGCCTGATGGAGCACCTGCCATAGCCACTAGGGCCACACTAGACGGACCCATCCTCTATAAAAGGGCACACATCTCCTAGCTAGAACAATTAACGAGCTTTTCACCTATCTTTTTTGGCATTCCCTTATAAGACCATGAGGTCTAGCCTCAGTGTTAGGCTTCTATACGGCACATCTTTTAAGTGCTTCTACATTACATGTATTTATCCTTTCATTTTCTTAGGTTAGCTGTTTCGTAGCGAGCGTAGTTGAAGTACTCCTCATTCTTCTCTTACGTTTCTTCTTTATTTACGCGCTTCTCACCGTCAGATCTCATTTGCAAGAAAAGCAAAAGACAGAAAGATATAAGAACGGCAACCAAACAATTATAGTGTTCTTATTATTTAAATCGCTCGCTATAAAGGGAAGGAATAAACACTTCGGCCAAGGAAATACCAAGGCTAGGGAACAAACGGACTTCCATAATGAACTTATGTCCTTTCTTAATAAAAGCTTTATAAAGAGCAAGAGATATAGATTTATTGCAAATAAATAAATAAAAATTTTCTTTCTTTTTTCTTACTTTTCAAAGAAAATTAAAATGCTCCTCGAACGGGTCGCCTTAGCAATATTGTAATTAAGCTAGCTTATTGCACTTATATTGAAGCTTTAATATAAGCTTTATAAAGAAGGATTAAAAGGAATAAGCTAAATACAGGTTTATTACGAATTGATTTAAAAAATCTAAAAATTCAAAACTTATTGTTATTATTTTTTAAGAAAAATCAAAATGCTCCTCGAACAAGTCGCCCTAGAAATACTGTAATTAAACGAGCTTCATAACCTTATATTGAAACTGTAATAGCAGCTCTATAAAGAGGAGCAAATGAAAAGCAGCTATTTTTTATTAAAAAAAACTTAAAAAAATACGATTTTAAGTACAACTTTCAAGTAGAAATGCTCTACGTTGAAGAGCTAGTATAAGTAATTTGATTTTATAAAATTTATATGAAAATTCGGAATATTATATAGCCGCTCGCTGAAAAGGAGCAAATTCGAACTCGCGTAGTATTTATTAAGTGAATATTTAATAAATCAGCGAATAAAAAATGAAAATCTTTTGTGCTCTTGCACCTTTTTAATAAAGCTATAGCTTTTTGAGCTTAGATTTTTGATTTAAAAAGAATCAATTAAAAGGAATAAGCTAAAAACAGCTTTATTACGAATTGACTTTCAAAATCAAAAAATCAAAACTTATTGTTATTATTTTTTAAGAAAAATCAAAATGCTCCTCGAACGGGTCGCCCTACTAATATTGTAATTAAACTAGCTTATTGATATTATATTGGAACTATTATAAAAGCGTTATAAGGAAGAGAAAATGAAAAGCAGCTATTTTTTATTAAAAAAACCTGAAAAAATACGATTTTAAATATAATTTTCGAGTGAAAATGCTCTTCGTCAAGAAGCTAGTATAAGTAACTTGATTTTACTAAATTCAAGTTCGAATGCGGAATATCATATAGCCGCTCGCTAAGAAGGAGGAAATTCGAACTCGCGTAGTATTTATTATGTGATTATTTCAGAATTCATCGAATAAAAAAATGAAAAGCTTTTATACTCTTGCACTTTTCTTATAAATCTATAGCTTTTTGAGCTTTTATTTTTGATTCGAAACAAATTAATTAAAAGGAATGAGCAAAATACAGCTTTATCACGAATAGATATAAAAAATCAAAAAATCAAAAATTATTTTTATTATTTTTTAAGAAAAATCAAAATGCTCCTCGAATAGCTCGCCTTAGCAGTATTGTAATTAAACTAGCTTATTGATCTTATATTGGAACTATTATAAAAGCGTTATAGGAAAGAGCAAATGAAAAGCAGCTATTTTTTATAAAAAAACCTGAAAAAATACGATTTTAAATACAATTTTCAAGTGAAAATGCTCCTCGCTAAGGAGCTAGTATAAGTCACTTGCTTTAATTGAATTTATATTCGAATTCGAAATAATATATAGCCGCACGCTAAGGAGGAGCAAATTTGAATTCGCGTAGTATTTATTAAGTGCATATTTAACAATTTTTCGAATAAGAAAATAAAAATCTCTTATGCTATTGCTTCTTTTTAATAAAGCTATAGCTTTTGAGCTTTTATTTTTGATTCGAAACAAATCAATTAAAAGGAATTCGCCAAATACAGCTCCATTACGAATTGATATAAAAGATCAAAAAATCAAAAATTATTTTTATTATTTTTTAAGAAAAATCAAAATGCTCCTCGAACGGGTCGCCCTACTAATATTGTAATTAAACAAGCCTAAAATCCTTATATTGAAAGTATTATAAGAGCTTTATAAAGAGGAGCAAATGAAAAACAGCTATTTTTTATAAAAAAATCTTGAAAAAATACGATTTTAAATACAATTTTCAAATGAAAATGCTCCTCGCTAGGGAGCTAGTATAAGTAATTTGCTTTAATTGAATTTATATTCGAACTCGGAATATTATATAGCCGCACGCTAAGAAGGAGCAAATATAAATTCGCGTAATATTTATTATATGCATATTTAATAATTTAATTAATATAAAAGTAAAAATCTATGATTATTGTCGATATATCTATATCGACCTTAGCTAGTAGTAGTAGTAATAGTAGTAGTAGTTGGGGAAGCTCACCCGTGAACCATGGTTTACGGGCCACTTAGCATGCTTCGCTTAGCATGTTAGCAGTCAAGGGACCCTTAACTTGACAAGTAAACCTATTAGCTAGCTAATGCACGTGATTCCTTTTAATCGTATAAAAAGAATCAGCTCCCTTAAGCCTTAAGGAGCAAATAGAATTCAGATACTTTATTAACCGAGTGTTTTGCAATTGCAAATACTTTAACGACCGTTACGACCTTACGAATATATATTCTTAATCGCTTAAAAGCAATCTAATACTAATTAGTAATTAAATTACTACTAAGTGATCAATCACAAAGAAGCTAAGACTTTATAGCGAAGATACCTTTTACTATGATACTTCTTTCTTTTTACAACGGAAAAGCGATTCCGTATTAAGTCGCTTTCTTATATTTCGATACCTTTCTTTTATAACGGAAAAGCGATTCCGTATTAAATCGCTTTTTATACTATCGATTTTCTTTTATTCTTACGGAAAAGTGATTCCGAACCAAGTCACTTTTATACAACCTTTAAAGCTGTAAAGCCGCGCTTGCTATATATAACAAACTTAACTAATACGATCGATCTACGTACGAACAGACAACTATTATGGCCGATCAAGCAACTGGACCTTTAGATGGAAAGTCCAGCCGATAAGGAGCAGTAAGGTATTATACCCCTCGAGTCTTATTATTACTTACGGAACCCTTAGCTATTTAACAAAAAGGACTATTATACCTAAGACTTTTAAGCCTCTCGGAAAGACTAGACGACGAGATATCGGGCATTTCATTTGACTTAAACGAGCTATCATACGCAAGGCTCGATAGTAAGATTACGGCTCGAGCAATAATAAAGGACTTCTTAGACGCGAAGTGTAAAAGACTAAAGGATTACGACTTATAAAGCCTATTTCGGTACGCTTTCTTACGCTAGGATTAAACGAGTTTTACGATAACGAAGGATAATACGAAACGAAGCTTTAAGTTTGCTACTTTTATTAGCCTTAAAGAACACTTGCTATCTAAAGGCGTGTAATGCCCTTTAAAGCAAAGGGGCTACGCTAATAGGATGGTCAAGCTCTTGAACGACGAGCAGCAACACTAATAGACTTTTTAAGAAATAAAAGAGCAACAAGCAATACCCTTAGGCCTCGATTTAAAATAGACCGCCGAAAACCTTACGGACGATAAAGGTACTACACCTTAACTATTTTTACCTCCGCGCAGTTTAAAAGAAAAAGAAAAAGAGACTATAGGTAAGAAAGAAAAAGGGGAAGAGATTCGGAAGTTACGCGAGGAATTTGCGAAAGAGAAGAGGAATATAAAGCAAAATATAAAGGTGATAGCAAAGCAAATAGCGGAATTACGGACTTACGTTATATAATCTAACGAAAAGCTACGACGAAGCGCTTTAACGTACTCGACGCTTTTAATTTATTAATCGTTACGCAATACGCTAATCATATAAAAAGAGCTAAAATCACCTTAGCGGCCTTTAAACCTCTTTTTCAAGAGCTACAACCGGGTTTCTTTAAAGCCAGGACCGAGTAGCAATAACAACGGCCCCGAAAACATAATCGAGCTTGATAATACGCATAACAATAGCAGCTATACGCTAAAAAAAGACCTATTAAAACCTAAAAGCATTTCGAGCAAAATCAGCTTTTACTAAAGATAGCGTGCAGATTTCCGTGCCCAACCTTAGCAACTCGAAAGAGGGATCTAGCACTCTCGGACGTACTAATAAGCCCCTTAGATCTTTTAATAAGCTACGTATCGATAAAAAAGATACAAAGGGTATAAGAATCGCTAAGAGCGTGCTTAAAGGTACGGATATCATTAA